TTTTGTATTTCTAGGTTATGTGTTATCATTAAAAGGATAACACTTCTTGGCATAAAAGCAAGTCTCAGGGTAAGCGCGTGCAATACAGTTCATCCTACTCCCTGGCTCGTCCAAAGCGGAAATCATTTGGAAAAAGGGGACCGCTTCCGAATCTCAGGTCCTTTTCTTTCGAATCATAATTGACCATAACGCCCTCTACCACCTCTACTTTTCTCTCTATTTTGATTCTCAGCGGGCCGCGATTTTCGTGTTCTACAATGCCTTAAAGGACGAATTCACGATGAAAAAGCAACCCATTTCAAATTAACCTAGGGATGGTGAGTGGTACACGAAAGAAGGAAGAACCATGAGAAACGGCCCAGAACCCGAGAATGGTACCCCTTCCTTGCCCGTTGATTCGAGCATTGATGCGACTCTCATCGCTGTGCCCTCTTCAACACTACGCTCTCTCAGCTATCTAATCACAAGCGCCATCTTAAGAGACAAGGCACTTGGCACACCACCATGGATGCCTTCCTTCCTTCCCTATGTAGACAAGACCCAACAGGAGAACGGTGGGGGCAGATCCAAATACAAATGCGGACTATTGCTTCCTATTAAATAGTGAATTGTTTTACAGTTGGGATTCGAATTGATGATTTACTAGTGAGATTTCCAAATTTTTTCGTAAACTGTGTCCACCCTGTAGGCACCACCCAAACCGATGAAAACAAGCGAAAACAAACATTCGTTAATTAGCAGTCATCTATGGTTCACAAATTGGAAGAAGGACGTAAATTCTCCTCTGAAACGGGAAGGGGGTGGTAAATTCATGACCACCATCGTACCAGAGGGTTTCCACGCAGAACCCTTAAACCAATGCTTTCCTCAAATCGCTATTATCTCTCACCGTTAACTACCGCAATCACTGATCCTAACCATGGTGTTATTTCCTCTGTGCAACTTGAGCTCCATGTTTTCCAGACCGTTGTTAGAAGCCCTCTATCATTTTTCAAATGGAATCCTCTGTTCCGACGAGCCCTTCCTTTTGATAGCCTAATTAGTGGCTCCCAGGAAGGCAACTCACCGAATTCGTACCGAAGATTTCATGAGCAGTGGAAGGAAGTATGGGAAATGGTTTTTTTTTCATAATCGATTAAATACACGCGAAATTCATGAACTATTATTAGGCTGGTTATTGTGACGGACTCCCTAAGGGTACGAGAAGATGGGCGTGTAACGAAGGGTGCGTCCCCAGTGACCTAACAGGGCCATACCTGCACCACTAGCGGCGCTGTTCGCCCACCTTCAGATGCAAGTTGCATCAATGCGAAAATCAAGGGCAAAGAAGGGACCCCTTTTCTCAGGTTCTAGTCGTTCCCTAGTATTTTTTGTATCTGCACCACTGACCCCTCTATCTTGATTTCCAACAGGCTGCCTTTTTACCGTAAACTCCACTCTTTGATTCTTTCTCTGACCAGCCAGTTGGAGTTCTGCAAACTTACCAACCCAATGCTTCGACAAAACACCCAGATTACTTAGCGCCTTGCGAGCTTTGCTTCGTTGTTTCATATATTATTCATATGTTTAGGTGATCCGATTTCTTCATCACCGAGTCGTCCCATTAAAACTGCTCTCTTGCTGTGCGCGTCCTTTCATGCGTCGAAAATAAAAATGGAAGATTGTTAGCACTTGCCAAATCAGTACTGTCCTGTCCTGAAGCCTCACCTTGATTCTAATGTACATTGGAACAAGAAGAAACTTCAAAAATTCATATCAATGCTCGTAGAGCTA